AGGGAAGGTGACATGTTTCAGTTGGGAGATATATATATATATATATATTTCCAAAGTTTTTCCAGGAACAACAAACCACATTTGTTCCAAAAGCAAGTTCCTAACATCTCTACCTAAAAAAATGTGATATTTAGCAAGAAAACTGAAAAATAAATAATTCTTTTTCTATGATGTTTCTGCTTGCTGGGGGCAGAGTCTGAGCTGCAAATGGGGAATGAGGTTCAGGGAATAAGTCAACACTTTAGGAAATAATTATGATAATAAAAATAAAATAAACCATAAACCACAATAGTAGTAGTAATAATAATAATAATAAAGTAGTAGTGTAGTTTTGCAGGGTTGGGGTACAATATTTTTATCAGGTCTTCTCTAAGCAAATTTGAAGTGTCCCACCAAATGATCTATCCTAATGAGGCTCCATGTGGGTTTCCAAATCACCTCCTGCCTTGGCTTCCTGAGCAGGTCGGTGAATTAAAGGCCTGTGAAAAAGCAGGAGCATCCCACTGCCTGCACAGCCCTATTGTCAGTGTAACCTGTGTAATTGTTACAGTGACAGAGCTTTCCAGAAACCTCCTATTTGCCTCAAATCCTGAAATGTTAATTTTCGCCTCTGATTAAGCTGAAGACCAGTCAAGGCTCCTTTTATTAAGTCAGGCAGAGTCCTACCTGCTTCCCGAGGGCTAAATTTGGCTGGGAAAGCCACTGTAATATTGTGTAATTAATTTGCCAGTCAAATAATTTCTGCAGGGCTCTAATTTACTTATCTGTCTGCAATCCTAATGAATCCCCCAGCTCAGTACTTTAATCATGTTTTCTGCCTTTTTATCTCCTTTTTTAACTCCAACTTTCCTAATTGTTTACTATGGGCTCATCTGTAACCTGTATTTTTGGCATGTTTTAGTTCTCACACCAAAACCCAGTCAAACACTTGGCTCTGCAGGTCTCCTTCATGACTGGGAACTGCTGAAAGCCTTCCTTGCTTTATTCCTCAATTTCTCCACAACAAACAAGGAAGTTGAGTCAATAAAAATCAAAGATGTAAAAATCCATGAGAAAAAGACATTTGCACTTGGAGCATTTAAGATGGTAACTTCGTTCCAACTTGGTGTAACGTATGTGCAGAGCTTCCTAAAGGTTATTCTGAGCACTATATTCCCTGATTAATGCCAGTAGTAGATATGTTTCAAAAAATGTGTGCATAGGAGACTTGAGGACACCTTTTAGTGGAGAACATGGTGGTGCTGGGTTGACATTTGGACTTGATGATCTCCAAGGTCTTTTCCAACCTTAACAATTCTGTGATTCCAATAAATGTAACATTTACAGTCTTCGTCGTTTCTCTGCAAATCACAACTCTGCCCTCGTTGTTTTTTCTTCTAATACATTAATTATTCTAAATGCTTTGGTAAGTGGCATACTTATGTAGTGTTTCTGTGGTATTTATATGGTATTTGTGTACCTGGGAGCAGAGACCTGCAGGTCTGTCATTGCATGGGCAGGGAACGCCCACGGCTGGGCTGGATCCACGGCATGGATCCTCCTCACGTGTTTGTGTTACACCACCAGGCTTTGCTGCTCTATTCTTCGGAATGGCAGTGTTGATTTTAAGAAGGAATTTCGAGTGCAAACATTCAGTCCTGGGGACAAGTGCAGCGGTAGGCAGATGTAGCAGAAGGAAACACAGACATGCCTATCTGTCTGTTCAGAATCCCGCTGTGATCCCTGTTCCCATGCAGGCCAGGGAGCCTTGTCAGGCTGGACTAGAGAACTCCCTGAGGGTGGAGAGAAGTTGCTGTGGGAAATGCGGAGTGAGTTTACGTGAGCATCTGACGAGGATTGACGAAAAACGCAGAAACTTGAGCAGATTAAAGAAAACCCATCCCCAGGGCCAGGGGAGGCCTCCCCAAAGGCGTGAGGTACCAGGAATGAGTTAATCCCACCAAGGAATGCGGAGAGCTGCCAGATAACAGAGTGACATTGTTTTTCCCTGATGTCAGCACAGAAACCCAAACACAAAGAGGTGAATGTAGTCCTTGGAGGCAGCTGAATGTGGAGCTTGTGCCTGCCTCCAGCAGCATTGAGACAAGATGACAAAGTGTTTCCTGGAAGCAGGGGCTGGCTCCGGACAGCTGGGCCAGCCATGGTGGGAAGGACTGGGAGATGTTCACGTGCTGGGAGCAGCCACAGGGTCCCATTCTGCTCCCTCCTGCTTTATGAACATGCAGCTATGACAGGCTCAGGCTTCCACCGAGTAATTTACAGCCATCCATGGTCATTTTATTTTCCTTTACAGCTCACTTTAAGGCATCTTATTTTCTCCTGAAGTGTCTCCACGTTGTGTCTGGCCTGAGTAATTCAATTTATTCTGTATTAGGTCTAGCGGATATTTAGGCCTTGCTGGAATAGAAGCCTTGTTTCACTTCAATATAGGCAGCACTTGTATTGCTTCCAGAGGGATGGTAATTAAATACTTGCTGATAGGCTTTGGATGTGGAGCTGCTCTTCTCAGCAGCCGGAATGTGCTCTGCCTGGATCCACCTCCTGAGTGGGAAGTTTCACAATTGGGTGACTGTCCATCACATATGAGAAATCCATAACGGCATAGTAATATCTGTATTATTCATTTTTGGCTATTCTGAAGTCTACAGGAAGGTAAACAAAAGGAGAAAAACCTGAAGAGAAGGTTTTAAATTGCTTTGTGTTTTTATTGCAGGGCTGGTATTAACCTGCTCGGCGCCCTTGGCTCGGCCCGGTGAGGAGCCACAGCTGCTCTGTGCCTGGGCTTACACACAAACCCCAGAGCTGGTGTGTTAATCAGGGAAAGCACACTCAGGAACTCCTAGACAGCAGCTTCTTAAAATCTGCTTGGAAGAAAGTGAAGCTGCAAATGTTGTTTTCTGAGCGGATGAAAGAACGTGAGTCACTGAGGTTATGGATGTCGAAATGGGGCACACTGAGGGGCGGCTGGGTGGGGAAGGGTCCTCCCTGTCCCTGCTCTGTGAGACCATACAGCTGCTTGTGAGAGTATAAATTAAACACTCTGGAATTATCCAGCACATCTGGAGTCAGTCCAGAGGAGGCCACGGAGCTGCTCCAGGGCTGGAGCCCCTCTGCTCTGGAGCCAGGCTGGGAGAGCTGG